AAAAATATTTATTCAGTTACACTATGTGTCCTAATTTTCTTGAGTTGTTATATAAGATAATACTTTAGGTAGTCCTCAATTTATGGTTACAATTTAGATTGGAATTGTGGTTGCTAAGAAATGCAATCATTAAACCTAATCATGTGATCAGATCTGTTTTTTGACTTTTTTTTTCCATCGGTGTTTTATTCGAATCACTGAATCATATGGTCATTTCCCCAATTTAGGCTGCTTATTGGAAACTGGCTGATTGTATACAAACAGTGATCAAGTACCCAGAGGATGCTGCAATTGGCAGTGAAATGTGGTTTGGTTGCAAAGTGCTTGAATTATAATCATATGAGCATGGGGTGGTACAATGATCATAACTTGAGAGAAATTGTAAACCACTTTTTCAAAGACTGTCATAACTTTGAACGGTCAATAAATGAAAGTTGTTAATTGGTTGTTAAATATTTTATTAAATCTGATGTGCAACAACTGAAACCATATGTACTGGAGAGCAAAGTGTGAAGTATGCAATCTCACTTACAGTAAGTTGAAGAAATAAACTATGTATATTCATTTCTAATGATATAAATAATTCGTAATAGTTGCAATTTTATAATCTTGTATATTTCACTAATAATGTTCAATTAAATAGTTTCATTTATTGGGCAATTACTGTTATCACAGTGACACTTAACTGTGTTATCATGCTGCATCCCAAACTCAATTCAAATTGTTTGAATTCTAAAGTTCCTTAGTGCTTTAGCTCCTTCATTTTTTATTACTTTCTCTATTTTTGTGGTCCCACCAATTCTTGCTTGCAGACAAATGGTATTTCTTGCAGATCTTCCAGTGCCCCATTTGTCATGCCGTTGTTTATAATCAGACTGCTTGATCTTCTTGCAGTAGGTAACTAGAAACATTGCTATTTGCTATCTGCTATTATCTTTTCAAATCTGGCTTTATTTTTACTATATTACTTCTGCGGTCTCCTTTTATATATTTTGATCAACTCAAGGTAAAAGAACCATGGTGGTGCAGTGGTTAGAATGCAGTATTGCCGCCTAACTCATTGCCTACTCCAAGAGTTCAGTTATGAGTGGCTCAAGGTTGACTCAGCCTTCCTTCCTTCCGAGGTGGGTAAAATGAGGACCCAGATTGTTGAGGGCAATAGGTTGACTCTATAAACTGCTTAGACAGGGCTGTAAAGCACCATGAAGCAGTATATAAGTGCTATTGTTATCCAAATGCACCTGCCTTCTATTTTTCTCATAAAAACAACCCTATGAACCGAGTTGGATTTAAAAAGAATGAGTGGCCCAAGGTCATCAAGCCAGCTTTCATGCTTAAGGCACTCACAATCTCTTGGTTTCTAGGCTAGCATCTCTTACCTAAAGAGTGGGAAGTGTTAAAAAAAACCTAACAGAAGTGAAACAAAATAAGCATTTAAGAAGTGGCTACTATTAGCAAGCATGGACTATGAGGCTCCCTATAAGAAACTTGAATTTGCCTGAAGCTTCACATAAACTTGAAATAACATTAAAGTTGATTCCCAACATGATATCCTCTTGGATTTAACCTGGGGTCCTCTTCCCCGTGTTTTCTAATAAATAGCAAACTGGTATCACATTTCCTATATTCAGATCTATTTGGCAGTTGCCTGTTTAGATTTTCTGCATTCCTGCAGAAACTAGCTCCCAATATAAATCATGGGCATGCACAAAATACACAAAATATTTTGCTGCCTTGCAAAAAATTCAGGACAGTAGCTGACTTGTCCTACACCTTACCTCTTTCTATTTCTGTTACTTTTCTTTTTTTAGGCATCAGGAATATTCAACGATGTTTTCTTTTGTTCCATCAAAATACTCAAGCCATTTTTAGGCATGCTTTCTCACGTAACAGCCCAATGGATTATTTTAACGAAGTTTCTGATGGAGCTGTTGTTCTCCTATTTTGAGGAAAAATTACTTTTGTACCTATCCCTAAACATTCATACAAGCCCATATAGTTTAACACATTTTTTAAAACATGCAATTTGTCAACTCATAAAATATTCCTATGGTATTTTTAGAGCTGCCAACAGAATGGGAGGGGGAAAGGGGTTTTGAAAGAGCAGTGTGGCAGCTTGAAAATCTAAAGTGCATTCCATAAATATGAATTATGAAATTATGATACACTCGGGGGGGGGGGGGGGAGGAACCAGGATCAAAGGTGACAATGAATTATGTGTCTTAGAGTCAGCTACACCCAGGCAGTGCCGTACAATCAATCATTTTGAAGTTTTGGAAGTTTGGCTTGAGACTCATGATTTAATTGGGGTAACTGCTGGAATCCTGACAGCATTACTGCAGTAAGTTTTCATAATAATTCAGAAATTAGCTCAATTCTATAGAATTTTTTTGCAGGTAAGCACATAAAATACAGGATGAAATTAACTTTGTTTAACATCTTCCTAATGTGTTGGGACTGCAATTCTCAAAATTACTAGGCAGACTATTTGAAGAGCCCGGTAGCTGGCAATTCAATGGTAGTTAACGTAGCAATACACGCGGAAGACACTATTCAACAACGGTAAATGAACAATGTAATTAATTTGATGCACAAATACTTTTGGCAAATGTTAAGCCACCTTAAAACAATAATTTCGCCAATTACTATATTACATTGTTTTGTTACCCAAGAAGGTATCATGTAACAAAAATTGAAGCTTTTTGAATTAATAGAATGGACCTTCTAAAAAAATCAATGCAATCAATATGGTCACCGTAAAACCTGGTTTGAATGTCTGCTACAATTTATAGAAGGTACTGACGGCGCAAGTTTATTTAATTCATCAAAATTATATTTCAAGATTTGGAGTCTTGATTTTACATTATGTTTTGCAATCAATTAAAAAACATTCTAGTTAATGCTATTCCCCTAACCCTCAGCTAATAAAATTAACATAAATAGTCTATTTTTAAAACTACCTATAAGGTAAAAACAATCTCAAAAATGTTCAGTGAATCTCACTTACACATTTTTACTAAAATGTTCTTCACTTCCCATAATCCTTTTTGCTTACTGAATAAAGCATGCCAGAAAGAAAATGGGGATAAAGTTACTTCTGGTAACTAGAAATGCCTATGCAGCTCTTTAAAATAGGAATAGTGACAGTCAGCAAAAACACAGATTAGGTAACTCCAACACAACCCAAATTATATTTGATTCAATGATTCTTTACAATTTTTGCCACTCCCACTCACTGACACAAAATCCTTCTTTTGCCTTCATTTCAGTGGAAAAATATAACAGAAAGGGGTAAGCCATCTTAAGAGGAAATAATACAGCTTAGACAACTGCTTTTATTTTCCAATGCAGATATAATAGAGAGAATCCAGCCTCTCTTGGGCTATTGAATTTATTTAATAAACAGATGGCAAGCATAAACCTGTATAGTCTTGTGGAACTCTACTGAAGCCACCAAAATTAAAAAAAGAGGGACAAAATAATGCAATTCTATAAAAATGAGCATCAAAATAATCAAAATAATTTTCTTGAGTGTACAATTCTGGTTAATAAAAAGCAATGCTAAATATTAATGCTGTTTATTAATATAGATAAAAATCTACTTTGCACCCAAATATTTCAAGGCTATTCTACTTATACAACAAAAAATAAAATAGTTAATGATGAGACAAAAACAGTCTAAAGAGATATAACAGTAATTTTAATGCCAATAAAACCAGCCAAATTTAATGAAAAGCTGCTAGAATAAATATCTATTTAACAACTGGTGATCAACAATAACAACAACAAGGTACTAAAGAAACTCTTGCATCAGAAAATTTCAAATTCTGAGCATCTATTTAAAAAAGGCTATAACATTTTTATCATTCATATTATGGATTAGAGAATGAATGCGGGGTAGTGGTTAATGAACCAGGCTAGAAAATAGAAGACCATGAATTCTTGTCCTGCCTTAGGCATGAAATCACTTAGGAGCCGTGGGCTTCCTCTTACAAATTTCACTGGTTGATAGTAGATGCAACTTAATCCTAAAACATTGTATTTCATGCTCTTTTTAAATATAAAATATTTTATGTACTTCCAGTGAATTCACAACCAAATTATGTTTAGCCTTAAAGCCTTAACGTGAATACTCTTGGTAAATTGTTCTACTTCCTTGCTATAGGTTGGAACCAATACCTGCAATGATTTAGGTTTGGGGTTGGGTTTTTTTTTTTTTTGCCACAATGCTAATGAAAGATCCTTTAAAGTGGCAAATGATTAAATCCTTCCTATCATCCACGCAAAAATCTGAGATGGATTAGCAACTTTACACTAACAAGGGGACTGGAAAAGAAATTACATATATTTTGAGTGCACACTCTGTGTAAATGTCAGGCAGAAGCCAAAGACACAGTAAATTCCATCCTTTATTTCCTTACGCATAATCTTGCCAAACTAAAGCTATAAACCTCTATCCTAATAGATATATCCTAACAGAATCTAGGGTATGGCTAACCCTGAACCTCTTCTGCTTTCCCCAACCACCTTGGGACTGTGCCATCACTTAATTTGGGGTTCTTTCTGGAATGTACTGCTTCCTCCCTAGGAAAGATCTATGCTGCCAAGACTCCCTCCATTACCTCTCAGATGCATATCCCATCACAGTAAACGATTTGCACAATAGTGATTATCAAGCATCATCAAATACAAAGATGGAGGTTTTTTTGGTTAGGTGTCTCCTTACATTCAGATAAAGATTTATGTATGTAGTATATATGACGGACAGTTGCAGTGTTAGACTTTTGCTAGAAATGAAAGGAGCACAACTGAAATACTTTGAAATCATACCCATCAAAATACTAGACAAAACTACTTACATGTAAACTTGAAGATAATAAGTGATAGACAGTAGAAATGTATCAATTTAATATAGCAGAAAGATGCCTGAATGTGGAAAACTTGTAAGATTCTCCTAGGAGGGTTTTATTGTATCAGCACAAAATTAGACATATTTTAAGACACAAGAGTTTTTGTGCAAATTATGCAATATATTAAGGTAGCACTAATATTCAGTATCTACTTGGAAACTGGCATCAGGATTCCTTGTTGACCTATCAACATTTAGTGTAACACTATAAAAGAAAAAATATAATACCTACTTTCATATATGAGTATTATTTCCTGTGTTGAATGAAAGGTATCTTTTACTTTGCCAATAGTTCTATCTAGTTTTGTATTGGAAAAATACAAAACACTGCACTTGATATTCAGCTAGAGAGATTGAGATAATGGGTGAAAATGGCAACAACCTTGATGGATTACAGGAGGACTAAAATTCTACTTTTGGAAAAGGCTTAAGGGCAGGAATAGAATATTTACCTTTGAGGACTCTATTACAGATAGAACCAATTACCTGAATTTCAAGATCCTCGAGTATAGTACATATATATGCCTGAATGAGAAACCTGAATACGATGTTATTCATAAATGGATTTCATTATCCAGATTTAATTTTACTATGAGTACCAGTGAATATTCTCAGTCATAATCTGTCACACAGTTTTCATGCCTCGTACGTAAAAAAATGTTTATCAGCAAAGGGCACGTATTTATTTAGAATCATGCCCATTGCTTTTGAATGGTGTTTGCAGATACATTTTTTTAAAGTACTGGTGTTTGAAGGCTCATTTTTTAAAAAGTATTATTTAATATTTGGGCCTAAAACTTCTTTTACAGCCAGTTTTTTTTGTTTCTTTTAAAGAAGACACAGAAAGAACTGGGTCTTTTACAGGCAGGAGAGGGCAATAAATTACTTCTACTCTTCAACACAATTGAAATAGATTTTTTTCATGCTCCCTGGAGATGTTTTATAGAATATGCATTTCACTGAGGTGCCCTTAACTCTACACTTTTTATTTTTTTTAAAGGGACATAAATTTCATGCGGACTGTACCTGATCAACTGCCTCTACATTTCAATACTTATCAGATGAACCTATTCTTGTTTAATACACATTCACTATGTAATTCACAATGGGTGTAATTTATAATTTTATTACCTTTATATTTTAATCAATATTTTAGCAACCAGTAAAAAGTTCTTCCAAGTGTTTTCAAAAAGTAGAATAAATAAGTACTATATGTATATAGGCACATGGTTTACGTTTAATAGTTCATAAAATGCAAGCATTAATATATTGGTATGCTTAGTAATCTCTAGATTATAGATGCTAGCTTGAATAGAATATCATGAACATGACTAGATTAAAACTATGTTTGCTTATATTCATGGCATGCCAACTAAAATGCAACAAAACTCAAAATTATATATACTATTAGCAGGGAATGCTTATATGGTTCAAATTGGTATGTGCTACAGCCACTGTAATACTGCAAGTGTTTGTCTACACCAGGGTGTCAAACTCAAGGCCCATGGGATGCTTAGATCTGGCCTGCGGGGCCACCCTGAAAACAGCAAAGGACTGGCCCATGTTGCCTCTGCCAGTGAAAACGGAGGCTCTTCTGAGCTCTGTTTTCATTGACAGATGGTTGCAGGAAGTCATTGCAGCCAGAAATGAAGCTCGTGAGGGCCAAAGGTGGATTTCCCCAGAGGAGATACGCATTCACCAAGATATTAATAACCTGGTAGCAGCAGCTGAGTTTTGGGCCAACTCCTCTTTGCATGCTGCCTGTTCCTCCTCTAGGGCTCTCGCCTCTAACACCACCTCCCGCCACCTTTTATGGCTTTGTCTTCAGTATTCACTTATTGGGACTTAGACTCCATAGCACACCATCCAGTGGTGTGCTCCTTTTTAAGAGGGGCGGTTAATCTAAAGCCACCTGTTGTACACAGGTATCCAACCCGGGTCTTAGCTAAGGTTTTACACGCCCTTACCTTACCACATTTCAAGCCTCTCGGGTCGATGAGTCTGCAATTTTTGTCTTTCAAGATCGCCTTTTTAGTCGCCATCACATCGGCCAGGCAAATTGGCTGCTTTCTCCGTAAGAGAGGAATTCTGTACCTTCCATGCAGACAGGGTAATTCTATGTCTGGATCTCTCCTACATCCCCAAGATCAATTCCTGGTTCCACCGGGCCCAGGAGAGAGTGTTGCCAAACTTCTGTCCAGGTCCTTCCTATCTGCTGGAGCAGAAGTGGCACACTTGGGATAAAAGGAGGTCCCTACGCAGGTACATAAAACAGATTTTGCCTTAACAGAAATCCGAATCACTGCTTGTCTCATTCCAACCTTCCTCTTTAGGTTCAAAGGTCACTTCGTTGACTATAGGCTGTTGGATAAAGATGTGTATTGCAAAGACCTACAAGACACAGTTGATTCCGGTCCCCAGACGATTAACTGCCCACTCCACTAGAAGTGCTGTGACCACTACCACGTGGGCAATGCAGTCTTCGATTGAAGAGATTGGCAGGGATGTGACATGGTCCTCACCATCTCCCTTTGTGCGCCACTATAAGTTGGACACTTTTGCCTCTGCTGAGGCTGCCTTTGGGAGGCGAGTACTTCAGTGAGTGCATGTAGCTAGGGGGACTCAGGACCACAACAATCCCTACCCAGGGAAACCACTCCCTCTCTGGGAGGCAGTCAGGTCCTTCATCCAGCATAGGAATACTGGAAGAGCCAACACCATTGAGTCCTTCAGATTGCTGCGCCCTCTTCGTGAACTGGGGAAAGTGCAAGTTGACAGGGGGTGTGGCAAAGATTATGGACTCAGTCTCTGGGCAGAAAGGCATGTGTCAACCCATCCGTGGACTCTCCAATCATTGTGCTGGAGAATGCTTGAGCAGCAGCAGACATAGGAGGAAAATCAAACACACAAATTGCCATGGCAAGACAAGACCTTTCATAAAATGTACCACTGACAGACAGCTGAGGTGTTTGATAGTGAGAAATTCTACCAGGATCTGGAAAGGACTTGACTAAAAGATAGTACTGAGGGATTGCAGTACAAAAACTGGCACTAAGCACCAGATCCATTAAATAGAATAACAGAGTTGGAAAGGACCTTGGAGGTCTTCTCATCCAGCCCCCTGCTCAAGCATAGATGCAGGGTCTACCTCACTAGACAGGATCCAAGCGCAGACTATGTAGAGAGGCTTCAGAGACAATCCAATGCATAGTGACAGGGTTAAAGATGCAAGAAGGATCAGCATATACTGAATGATACAACCAGTAGCACTGGCATTATATACAGGAACATCTACATAAGGTTTGGGCTAGACCCTTCCAAGTCCATGGGGGGTTTCACAGGAGGTAATGGAAAAGAACAGGGCTAGGATGCCATGACACTTCCAGATCCAGATGGATTTATAGGTACCACACAACTAGTCTAACATTGTGGTAATAGACAAGAAACAGAAAACAGTGATAGTGACAGATGGAGAGGTGTCAAGTGACAGCAACATCAGGAAGAAGTATGAGAAGCTGGAGAAATACCAGGACCTGAAGAAGTAACTGGAGACAATGTGCACAGTAAAAACCAAAATGATTCCACTAGTGATAGCAGCACCTGGGCTGTATTTCCTAAGTGGGAAAGTTACTCCAACAAATCCCTGGAATAGATCGGAGCTCTCTGTCCAGAAGACTGCATGCTAGAAAGAGCTAAGATTTCTCTCTCTCTCCAATGGAGACCTTAACACTAAGGAATCAGCTCAAGACTACAGAAAAAGTAATCTGCTTAGCTTGGGCCAGTAGTTCCCTCTCAGCCCAACTAATCCCAGTTATGAAGAAAATTGGAAGAGGATTGAGTATTAGGTATTTTTGCTGCCTTGAATTATTTATAGACATAATAAAGGCAGAATAAAAATAAAATAAATACAACAAATGCGATCTGCTTTTAAATACAGTACTCAACTGTGCATCAAAAAGTCAAATAATTATATTCTTGTAATATTGACATGCTGCATTGTAATTAATATCGATACAATACTTTTTTCTCTTCTCTATTCTGAAGTTATCCTAACAATATAGGCAATTGAAGACAGTTTTTCTTCCTGTGGTTGTCTTTCTCTCAGTTGATTTCTATCTTGCCTTCTTCTTGACTTTTCTAAGAGTCTTCCAGTTGTTCCAGTCAATGTAAGTTCATTTCTGTTTAAAACTTCCAGTGAGGACACATAATCATCATAAATTTCATCCAAAGAAGAAAGAATGATGTAAACTTGACGCAACTCCGAGAAAATCAGTTCCTTTTCATGTAGCTTTTCATAAACTCCACATGAGCTAACATATTGCCACCTTTTATAAGATGGGCTCTAAAAAGTTTACATGTAAAGTGTATGTGTGCACCCACACTATCTCAAACATAAATCCTCTTCAAAATGTCTGAACACCTAGCAGCAGATTCTTTACCATGAATATGGACTAACTGCTGAGAAGTTGAAAAAGTATTCTAGAACAATGCATAACAAACTACTTCCATAGTAGATGTTCATGAAATTTTTAATAATTGAGTCTGATGTCACATTTTCCTATTTGTAGTCAGAGTTGTGGAAGTACAGTATCAAACAGGATGTAGACACTGAAAAGGAACTGATTTTCTAATCTCTAAGGTGTCTTCTAACTAAATGTGTTTGTGTAATTGAATTTTTTTTGCTGTAACAGTATTTATAAGACTGCAATATTTTATAGCTTTTATTTATTTTTCCTATAAAAGGGTTTCCCTGTCCTGCTGAAGTAACTATTAATGATTTTTAATGATTTTTCCCCTCATGTGTAGAAAGAAATTACAACTACTTCATATTCAATTGCCTAAAAATTGCATTTTGAACACTAGTCTGAAAAGTTATATCTTTTATTTTTGTTAAGTTCAAAGTTACTTTTTATTTTTTCTTTTGAAATACATGACACGTCCAAATTCTAATATTTTATATGAGTGCAAAACACACAAAATGTTATCCCAGAGAGAATAAACTCAGCCAGTAAAACAAATACACAGAACTGCTGTTTTAAAGAAAACTGCAAAGCATGAAACAACAGCCTGTTATCAGCCACTGAGAGTCAAAAATTCAGTACTGGCAGCTAAAACAACTGATCTATTTCACCATCCATTTCAACAAACTGATGAATACCATCTGCATGACAGTTCGAATCCAAGTCTTGCATATCTATTTACTAAAAATCAAAACTATATTCATTTAAAATTTTAAATGGTAATGGGGACAAAGGAGAGTTGAGTTTGCAAGGAAGAAGAAATTCAATTCATTAGCAAGTACATTGTTGAATACAACTGACCAACCTCAACTTGATGGCATGAGGATGCACTTGAAAATAAAGCATGCAGATTACATGAAATTATTAATTTTTTTCTACTTTTTCTATTTAAAATTAGTTGGTTAGACAAATATCTTACATTCTAATAGAGAATCCAAGCAGCTTAATTTATATGCAAGATCTATCTGTTCTGATATGTTAATTTCATTACTAGAAGCTTAATGGAATGCACGATAAAACATATATCACGATTTCAACGGGTAGACCATAATCTGTGTATTTTGACATGGAAAAATATAAAATAAAATTGTATAACTATAAAAAAGTTTTTCTTAAGAATCTGTGGTAGTTTTATAATAATTCTCCAACAAACAAAAATGTGATAGATAATGTGAGACCAATACTCAAAATTACTCAAAAAATTATTTGGAAAAATATGTATATTATAGAAGGAAAAAAACAAACATGTAACTTATAGTAGTAAAGATCATTTTGCTTTTGCTGTTATCAGTACTGCCAAGAAACAAATATATTTTGTTATACAGTATCCTACTCTGGAACAGATCTGCACATTTTCAGTGCAATCCCATATACATTTATCTGAGAATTTATCCAATGAACATAATAAAATCCATTTGTCTTTAAAAAAAAAAGCTTATTGGAAATTTTTAGATAGATAAAAGATAAACAAGAAATATATTAAAAAGCTAGAGAAAGAAAAAGATAAAAAAAGTGATGCAGTTAAAGAAAAAGAAAAATATAATCAAAGAAGCTACTTGCAAATCTTTGTAGCAGTTACATATAAAATTACTATCCTTCCTTTGTTCATTAAAATTACATTACAGATATCTCTTTTTTCCCATATTCAATTCATTTTACAATCAGCAAATCCACAAATCACCATTCACTCTTTTCTATTAAAAAAGGTTTCTAGTTGTTTATAAGAATACCTATTATTTTATCCCTGATGGAACAAGTCATTTTTGAGAATGCTGTCATCTTTGCAATCCATTCCTCTATTGTGGGCATTTCAGTACTTCATTGTTGCGATTGTTATGATTTTGATGGAGTTACCATAAATAAAATTAATCTCCCATATGTCTTTTCTAATTGAGAATCCATTAGTCTCAGTAAGAAAAGTTCTGGTTTCATCTCAATAATTATATTTAAAATTCTTTGCATCAACATTTGTATTTGTACCCCCCCCCTTTTTTTTTGTTTTTTTGCTTTTTCACAATTCCATCATGCATGGGTAAATGTCCCTTGTATTTTTCACATGACCAACATTGACTAGAAGTATCATTATAGATTTTCCTAGCATTCAGATAAAGCCTGCTGTTTCTTTTCCAGACCCCCAAGTCTCCGGGCATAAGGCCAAGATAGGGAATTCAGAATGCTGTGAAACACAGCATTGCTGAATTCACTAGGAGCCGAGGTTTATAATCAAGTATCAATGACATACCGATGATGCTTCACCTTATAGCAACAGATCAGCTTACCCAGAGATTTCATATATATGTTGAGTAGAAACGGAGAGAATACTGAACCTTGCAGGATCTCTTTCCTGCAGTGGCACTCCAAAAGGCCATTTTATTTCAAGGACGTTAGTGATATAGTTTGATTTCTTCTTATTAAGAAGATTCTAGAAGTTTAGAGTTCATTTGGAGTTACATTTAACTTTCTTATTTTTCATTTTTTCTTGATGAGTAAAAGATGGGGAAGGGGGGAACCTTCACATATTTGCAGGACACTAGTTTATCTGTATAATTCCCAAGGTTCTGTCAGTTTGTATGATAAATATATGTACCTTCCAATCAAGGCCAAATTCTGCAGTGTCATGACCCTGAAAGCTGGGCCATGTAGTTTACAGTATCAGGTACAGTATCAGGTTTTCAGAAAACCGTCATGTTAAGAATTTTGATCTTCAACACAGACCTAGTGCTGAATACTGTGTAAATCTTGACTACCTCAAGGTATTACCACTGTTGTTTCACTGGGGGTTCCAATAGCTGAAAGGGGATATTGCTTGGTGTGTAATTCTTGTGTTTCTGTTTAAATTTGCTTTCTGAAATTGTTAATAAAGCTTAAAACCTCTTTACTTACAAATGTATTCCTTGTGTCTGGATTCTAAAAGAACCAACTTTCTGGTACCTGGCCACTACTTGCTATCCTAACCTCCAATCACTACTGACTGGAATTGATCCTAGAGAAAGTATATAAATCAACACAGTGCTACTCATCCTCAATTCTCTGAGCCAGTCCAGAAGGATATCATGTTTGATCATATCAAACCAGCAGAGAAGTCAAGTAGAGAATGGATGAATGCACAATCCCAATCCTGCCCTTATTTGATTTAGAGACTATCAATACAATGTGGTTTTGGAGGACTTTTCCTCAACTTCCATTTCTCCTTTACTTCTCCAATAGTAAATCCATCAGGAAAAACATCCTGAAGCATTGTGAATCATCAACAAGTCAACTGACCTCTTACTTATAGCTGAGTTTGCCCATAAAACCTTAGCTCATTTTCCCACTGGCATGCAGCATTCTTTTTCTCATATGTCACCATTTCAGATGTGCTATTTCAGTCTTCAATGCTCTGAAGCCTTGCACTTTCTATAGGAAGTTCAAGCTATACATGAGCTCCTTACGAAAAATATGGGTGTAGATAAAGCCTACAAGGACACTGTGCCCATCACACACACACACACACACACACACACACACACACACACACACACAC